AATGATTTGTTCTGTCATGTGGGGGTTCAGTCGTCGTCGGTAGCTGCTATACCGGAATTTAGTTTATAAAATTTAGCTCTGCCTCTATATGTGGCATGGATTACTCTACACTTTTCGGTGTGAAACCATAAGTAAATTCTTTTTAGAATTACTTATCCCCCTTCCTTATTCATATTTTTAGCCAGATGTCCTGACAGGGGAATTCACTCACTTTCTATGGTCTAAACCACTGCCAAGTTTTCCGAAGCTGGGACACGTGGAGGTTTCCATTTTTTCATAAGCACGTCGTTTGCTCAATCACTAGCTTGGTAGGGAAACCTTCAAAGCGGACTCTATATTACCAATGCTATTCTCTCTCATGAGACTATCAGAAGGACAATTGAAATCCGTGTCAGGATTTTAAAAAGTTTGGGACAGATTTCTCTTTCTGAGCTTTTCTTTTAGTCTGTGCTTTCGTCATGGCACACGAAAGAAATACACCAGGGTTCTCTTCATTGATCTACGTTTCTATCGAAGTGACCGGTTCTAGCACTACCTTTGGATGCATAGTTACCTTCCCACCAGATAGCTCGTTCCCTAACAACATGCATACGGCTTTCATAGGCAGTTTGAGAAACAACTGCAACAACAATGAGTTTCGACACTAAGTCTGACACAAGATGAACTCGATGTAAAGGGATACAAACAAAATCATTACTGATACACCGGACAATAATAAATTCGCCCATGGCCAAATTCCATCCACGCGGCAGATAACTTTTCAAAATTAGCTTCCGTGTCTCGTAAAACTTTTATGGCTATCTTTTTAGTGGTATCGCTCACAAGCGAAAACAGATCCATCAGGCACAAATGGCCTGTACTCCTCGTCTCTAACATCTTCAACAACCTATATTCTATCCGACATAACTCATTTGGAAGAAACTAAATCCTGGGGTTTATTTTGGCTTATGCCCTGGACTCATTATTTCGTTTGGTCCAGCAATTTAACACAATATGCCCGACTTTGTTACAGTATTGGCACATTGGAAGTTTCCGATCCCATCTATTTACTTGCCGAAATTCTGACGACTGGAAATAATTTCTTTGCTAATTTGTATTTCTTGAGTATTTCTTAGTGCTTTTATCCGAGTTAAATGGTCAATCAGGATCGTATGAATGTTCTGACTTGGAATTCGGACCAGAACTAAATCCATGTTTTGAGCCATGACCGCTTCCAGGTTCGAAGGAACCACTATATTTCAGTTTGATGTACTTCTGCGTTAAAGCATATTCATCAGCGACAGTGGCCATTACGTACACGGAAGTTACCTTTCTCTCCTCAAGGTATGTTTTGATATTATCAGAGACATTTCTTAAATTCTTCAATTAGAATCATTTGCCTTAATCTTTCATAGTCAGCTTCAATATTTTTCGACTGGCTCCATCTGTCAAAATAGGTTTCGTTTTCACTAGAAAACTCGACGTAAGTTTGTCAGTTTTCGTTGAATTCCTAAATTTTGGCGGTAGGCTTCAGGCACAAACTCTAAACGTCTTAAGGATGGTTGATTTAACGGTGTTGTAGTCAACACAGTCTGATACTGACAGGGCAGCATATGTTTTCTGAGCTTTGCCTTTCAATACAGTTCATAATAACATAGGCCATTTGGTTATGGGCCATTCTACATTCGAAGCGACTTTTTGCAAATGCGAAAAATACCCATCTACTTCAGCTTCATTAAATTACGGTACTAGCCTAATGTGCTTTGCTAAGTCAAACTCATTTCTCCTAGCTTTTCTACTTAATTGTTTTTTTCCTCTATTTCATGGAATCGTGTCTCTTTTTAGCTTCATTTCTCAATTTTTCTTTTTCCCTTTTAGATTCATTTCTCACTTTTTCCCTTTCAGCTCCGATACTAATTCTAAATTTCTCAAGTTCAAGCTGAGTTTGGGGTAGCTCTTGTATTTCAACCAGTGGTTGATTTAATATGCTCTTGTCGAAGACATCGTTATCTACCATAGCTTCATTATTCTGACTAGGTGTGTTTTCCGCATAGATTTCTTTACATCTAATTCCAAATAGTTGCCAATTTCCAGTATATCATCTTTTTTTTTTAAGTCTAGACAACTTTTCTAGGGAGGGTGACATTAAGAATTATTGTTACAAACATCTTGGTTCTCTGCTTGCCGGCACACTAACATGCATATAATTCCGACTGAGTGATCTCGGTCGAGACCCCAATCTTATATTTTACAAATTTGCAACATATAGAAATATGAACCACAGGTTAAAAAAGAAGTTGGGTTCGCTCAGATAGGGCCACACGACACAAGTGTCGACGAATAATAAACATGATGGACGTTTGTAAATAATTTTATATATATATATAAAAAATCTGATCTGATACGTGCTTCATGAATTTTAAGTTCAAATGTTCATGATTGCAAATACACAGAATCTCTTTAAAATGTCCAAATAAAAATCAGTAATTTTTCTTTCCGCAATATAAGATATAAGACTTCGGAGTAGTACTTGTATTTCGATTCCTTTCTGGTAATCAAATTACATCCAAGATGAAATTTGGATGATTGCTCCGGGTATAATATTCTTTTATTCTCTACACATCAAGTAGTTGAATAAATACAGGATCCACGGGAATGATATTTTCATATTCCTTGCACAACAAGGACACATGGCACAGTGGATAAAGGCGTTAGTTAGATCCAGTGACAGGACCCAAAAAGAGTGTGAGTTCAATACCTGGTTAAGGCGGTGGAGAACTTGGAGAGTGGAATTAACAGGAGATAACTGATAACTGACATTCATTAGACATGGCACGTGGAACTAGAACAATCTACCCCAGCGAGCGAAATAAAGGGTTCAGTACGACATTCCAACCACCTGAAGAAGGCCGGAGCGTACAACATTGTAATAAATATGGCAACAAAGATGGGGACAATAGTCCGAATAATTTAAATAGCGTACATAATACCTCATCTCAGAAATATACTGAATACAGATACTGAAGTAATAGAATATATTCATAGGCGCATCTTTCATGAGTGCACACTGAGAGTCGATTTACTCGCGACCTATCGTGGTCAAAGGTTATCGCTATTTCTTAGTCAAGACATGGTCTAGACAGGAAATAAAAAAAGAAAAGAAGGAAAAACAAAGAAAGCGTGTCCCTTAATAAATTGATTATACGTCTGATTTAATATTAAACATTGAGGGTCATGTCCCAAAGGACACACTGCCTCTCCAGATATTAATCTAGTAGAAAACAACGATGGCCAATCATTAAAAGAGATATATAAAAAAATACAGTACCGTTGTCATATTTGGGCGGGGCTACTGAGACCTCACTTTTCAGTCTGCTAGTCCTTGTTGGAGAAGAATTATTTTCCACTGTCCAACCTCTCTCTCTCTCCCAGGCGGGATGTGGCAATCCTCTCACTAATCTATTGCTACTAAAATGGAAAGTGCTTGGACGAACTACATTTCTTGGTTCCGCCAGGTCTAAACTTCACGGTTAGGGCCCACCATGCCACTTTCATTTTAGCAAACCATACACATTCCCTCCGTATTCTGTCAACGATAAGTATATTCCAGTCAAACAGCTTCTTCCCGTGAACCACTGCTCCGTGGAACAGACTCCCAAGTGGATGTTTCCCTGATCGCTACAAGCTTAAGCTGTTCAAGTCTAGAGTTAACCGTTATCTTCCCCTCCTTTCCATATAAATTACCCCTTAATATAAACTTCTACCTCGAGTGACCCCGGGTCTTGTACAGGATGAAGCTTACTGCGAAAAAACAAAATGAAAACAGAAAACAATGTTCAAGCAAAGATGTCTGGAAACAGTAAAATTATAGCGATATTTTTAAATTCGAAACATTAGAAAAGTAAATGAAGTCGATATTACCCACAATAGAACCGAAGATTCGTTATATATGATAGTGGGCTGCAGACTGGTCAATCATTCCTTAGTCAGGCTTAGACGTATAATTTTCCACTTCATGAAATTGAGATAAGGACAACCCAGATACAAAAGAAATACTAGTAAGTGTCTGTCGACAAGTTCAGCTGACATTTCTTTTTCTGTTAAATATGACTGATTTTAGATATTCTGATGTCAACACTTTCAACTGACGTCTACTTTTTTATAGCTTAACTATAATTATAGCCTATAAAGATAACCTATAATTTTGTAAAGTAAAAATGGCACTAAAATATGTTGGAAAATTTCCAAGTTTTCATTTAAAATGGAGAAAATACGAGCTTTAAGCTTAAATGGTCACATTATATGGGAAAAAGGGAGGGGTCAGTTTAAACTGACGCCAGGGGTACAAGAGTAAATAAATATCTTACTTCTGGCTACTCTCCAATAATAACCTATATAACGAAGATATCTTGCTACTGTTTTGGGGCTGATCTGAAAATACCTCGCTATATCTGTAGCAGGGCAACGATTCTTAAAAATCCTCATCTAGTCACAAGAAAACGCCTTCGTGATAGCGAAGGTTAACCTAATCGAGACGAATTTCGACTGCATTATCTTATTTATATAATGTTTGATGTTGATTCCTTTAATTTTCAGATGTATCAACAATTTCTTATGTTTTAGGGGTATGAGGCATTGTGAAACTATTTGCATTTATCTTTCGCTATAATATTAAATCTAGTATTAGTTTGGTTATTAAATATAAAATCTGTTTAAATAATTATGTCCATTTAATTATGTTTCCTTACAATATATAAATAGATGATTTACATATTTTAAAAGGTTTTATTCTTGTTCACTTTTGTGGATTTAGGCTTGTCCCAGAGTCACCCCGTTGGTTGATGATTGTAAAAAGAGAAAAAGAAGCTGGAAAAATCTTAAATAAAATGGCGGAAATAAACAAGAGTAACTTTCGTTATGCACCGAAACATGAAATAGAAATATCTAACAGCAATGGCCGAAACGTCAAAATATGGAAAATTTTCACTGTTCGAGATCTTCTGAAAAGGACCTTAATTTTGATGTTCGCTTGGTAAGAGACATTATACTTTTCTTTTCGTTTTTGAACACAGCTGTAAAGATTGCCACCCAAACAGACACACGAACATTTACACTTACCTGCATCCACCTGCACTGCATGAAAATAGTTTTGCTTTTTTTTTGCAGACAGGTATAAAGCTTATCACTCTACCCACGTCTAATCGAATTGCATTATAATATATATATATATATGAAGAAATATAGTCTTAAGGTGTGGTATATTTATGGGATAAAGTGCTCAATATCAGAGATAGAACGTGTGTAAATATAAAAGGAACATTGAAGTCAACACTTAGAGCCTCTACGTGTTGACTTCAATGTTCACTTATATATATATATATATATATATATATATATATATATATATATATATATATAAAAAAAACAGCTCCCACAATAGCAACATTTTAAATAAATTTCATTAGCTCCCACAATAGCAACATTTTAAATAAATTTCAAACTGTTTTTTCATTAAATATTAGCTCTGGATTCACATTGAGCTCTCAGGATTTCATCCTCCTTGGAATTACCCATTCGGTTTACCAAGTTCTTCGTAACTTCCGAAGCTCGCGCGGTTAGAATTTTTTTTTCTCTCATACCATTAATCATTTCATTTTTAATGTTTTAATTGTATGTCGGGTGTTTGTGTGAGTCAATATATATTGCAATAATTGTTAAATTGTTCCCAGTCGACCCTGATGAGCTTGGGAACGAAACCGGTTGGTCTGTTCTGTAAGTGTTATCATCTCTTATTTTTTTATTTTTCATAATGCCTTTAGGAAATAATTTGTATCTATTCCTTGCAATATTACGGTTCTGTACTTCCAACAATTTATTTAAATCTATCTATCTATCTATCTATCTCTATCTATCTATCTATCTATATGTACCAGACCAATTGTTAGATTAAGCTTTGAACCATTGTACCTTAGAAATGGTTAAAGATATTGGAATTCTTCGAGGTTTTTATAAAACTATTGAACTCTACTTTGAACAATAAGACTATATTTGAGATATTAATCGTGACGATGTTTAGTTGAAACGATGATCCTTCTTCCTGTTGTGACCTCCTGATCCATTTTTCCTCTCTACGGTTCCCTCTTTTTAAAACTTATTCACCGTTCTCTTGATGGTTCTTGAATGGATTTTGAAACTGGAAACTAGAGTATGAATGTTGCTACCATTAATACAGGACTGAATGATTATTTTACTCTCACCGATGGGAAGATATAGTGGAGCTGACACAAAACAATTTTAACATGTTCTATTTCTAACTGAATAACTCAAACGGCTTTTCAGTGATTCTTACAGCAAATTGTGTCAAGCTATTTATTTAAGCGTTTCACCCCACGCAATGCGGGAGTGCCACTAGCACGCAAGGGGTTACAGAGGTTAGAGTAGAAGAGACGGCTATATTTAACCGTTTCGACAGTAAAAGGGTAAGACTGAGATGCCAACCTAGTAGCACGCTTAAATTCATGCAGTTTGGGAAACAGCGAAAGTAGCAGTTAGCATGAAAGTATTTGTAGAAAAGACAGAGGGAAGCGACGGCACATCTGTGAGAAAGTGACTGTAGACGAGATGCCAGGTCAGGACCAATCACATTGCATATCCGTCTCTGGGTTTTGTCGAAGACCTTGAGACGAACAGCGGGGGCACCAGATCATATATAGCAGCAGTATTCCATGCAAGGGCGAATGGTTGATTGATAGATTTGAAGAATGGACTCAGACAAGAAAAAACTTTCTGGCGCGACACACAGATCCAACTTTTTTTGCGGTAGATGAAGCTATAGTATGTATTTGTTCCATCTCAGCTCAGCGGACAGTGTGAAGCCAAGCAGGCACAGAGAGGTGCTTCCGTGGAGTTGAGCATCAGACATTCTAATGGGAGGCAAGGAGGATTCTCTGTGGTGGGTAAAAGTGAGCAGTTTGTGCATTTTACCAGCCTTTTCTTGCCCCAGTCAATCACAGATTGGAGGTGTCTTCGAGATCAACGGCCAGGTTAGTTTTGTCAGCGATACCAGATTTGCTATTGAGGCAGGAGTAAATAGTAGTGTCGTCTGCATAGATGCCTACCTTGGGAACTGATGACATCGGGAAGATCAGAAATAGTGTAGGATCCAGGATAGAGCCTTGAGGAACACCTGCGTTCATTGAGAAAGGAACTGGAGGAGAACCCGTTTAGGATGACCTTCATTTCATGGTTTGACAGGAATGATTGGATTAAATCAATACTAGTCCTGAGATTCCGTATCCCTGAAGCTTACGAAGAAAGTCGGCATGTCAAACGCTTTAGAGATGTCTAGAACCACGGCTCGAGCTTATCCATTATTGAGAACTGCTTGGTAAACAAATTCAGTTACGACTTTGAGCAGATCAGCGGTAAATCAGCCAAAGCTGTTTATTGAGAGACGGTCTGCGAAATTTGATATGCAGTGACACTAGTACTTTTAGATGAAATAAAGAGTGGGACTGAGACAAAGCAGTAAACTAGTTAACACTGAATTCAGCTGCACACTTACTGTTTTTTAAAAGGTGTTCACAAATTGAGGATCCGTAGGTATTTGGGATTAGTTCATGTGAAACCAAAGGTGTGATTCCTGGGCTTACTTGGCACGTGTTTTATCCTCTCATATAGTCGCTGGGTATTCCTCTCTATGTAGCGGACTCCGCAACCATAAATGTTTGGCTTAGTTTGGTTTATTTTGTTTAACGTCATATCAACCTCAGTGGGTTATTTAATGCCGATAACATTTTTAGGATAGATTCGTATGAATAGAGTATTTATTTTATTTTTTTTTTGTCAAAAATCTGTTTCTGGTAATATATTTCCTTCAAAATTGTATTCCTGGTAATAATTTTTTTCAAAAAAGTATTGCTGGTAATAGTTAACTATTTGTCCATAGCTGGGAACCTAACAGGTGCTACCACCCCGGGTCAGGTGGGCCTGGGAACACCAGCAATTAAAAGGTGGTTCAACGCTCTTTAAAACCTCCTGATCAGAGGCCTTGCTGCTGGACGTAGTTTAACGTCTTACCCAGGACGCGCAACCACAATTGTATTTATATACAACAGAAGTAACTTGATGAGGGGTGGGGTGGAGCATCCTTACGAATAAATGCGAGGATCGGCTTGTTATTGAACACGACTCGAACCTCAACCAAAAATAACAATCACGGACGCTAGATAGGTTTTTGCATCCAGCTCCAATCCATGAAAAGTCGCAAATAAACAGGGCACTTTTCTACCGTAACGGGTTTAATTTTTTTGAAGTTAGCGATCTTGTCACGAATGGCAGAATGCACAATATTAGGAGGATACCCGTTGCTGCATAGAGTCCTCAGAAGAAATCATCAATGCCCTATGCGTCAAAGTTTTGATGAAGTTTGTCTTCTGCTTCATTGAACAAAAGAAATCCCAATACTTGTACAAACCGGCAAAAGTAGACCTATATACTGAGATCAAAAACAATGTTGGAGTACAATGCACTAATACATCCAAAAAGTAAGTTGAGAATTGGACTCTTTATCGACCGTAAACCTCAAAGCTGGATGAAGACTACTGAGAGAGGAGAGAAATTGATCCTCTTCAACTTCATCATTAAATAAGCAAAAAGTATCGTCCACATACCGACAATATAATTGAAGACGAAGTGAACTACAAAGCGATGTCTTCTCATGAAAACCGACAAACATATTTCCCAGTGCAGGGCTCAAAGGGGAACCTATAGCAACACCATCAATTTGTCAATACATAATGTTCACAAAGCTAAATTTCACAGATGAGGTGGCAAATTTCATCAGTTCTCATACAGCCCATATTCTCTATGATAGTGTTTACTCAACATAAGGTCGCCAAGTGGCTCGCTATAGTGTTGCAACCTGTTTTACAACGCTCTAGTTCTTTCTGTATAAAGGAGTTTTTCCTTTACAGATCCTATCCAGAATTGCTCTTCTCGTAAGTTCATGTGTTCATTTGATGTGTGCTCTTGATTTACTTGTGTCCCTCTTTTGGAGACAATATTTGTTGTGGCTTTCTTTATCGCAGCTGTTTGTCTCCTTCGGATATTCCTGAAAAAGTGTTCTTTGAACTGATGAAATTTGCCACCTCATCTGTTGAATTTAGCTTTGACAGAACAGAAAAAGGATTGTCTTAAAAATTTGTTTTAAAAACAGTATTTCTGTTTTCGGGAATATTTTTCATGTGTTGAAATCTTTAAACATATTAATTTTTTAAGTGATTATTTTCTTGGTTTTATCTTTCTAGAAATGTAAAAAATAGGAACTAGAAATTTTATTTTAATTAATAGCCAAAAATAGCAGGACAGACCAGGTTCTATAGCCTTATACGTCTACCGCAGAAAGAAATGACAACCTACTGCGGGAAAAAATCTGCCTCGTCAGTCATGTATCGAAGATACATGATCAGCTAAGCGTGTATCACGCATGGCACATAACTGACTGACATAGAACTCAGTTTTGGGGTTAATTTTGGAGATTTATCCTTGTCAATTCACTGTCCTTTGCGTTGAAAATTGTCTTGTGTAACTCATTTTTATTATGCTATGATATATTTTTAGAACACTTAGTTGAATGATATATTCGGCATTACAAATGATTTCCCAAAACGGAAATTATTTAACCTAATATTTTCTAAACAGTTAATCACAAATTAAAAAGGTCTACTTTATAAATTTTCCAAGAAAATCTTAATTTCCGATACGTTAATTATTTCCTCTTCTGATATATAGCTTACAGAGATGTAATTACTTGGTGAGCGTGACGACATTTTGTAGAATTTATGTGAAGAAATCGTGACTCCATTATCCCTAAATGTAGGTACGCCATTTTTAAACATTCTAGCGTCTCGCTATGCTCCGGTGTTTAAACATTTTGTAATATTACTTTTTTATTTATTTATTTATTTTTTTATCAATCTTTTTATTTTCTTCTTGCTTTGTGTCTTGAGGCGCTTATTTCTTTTGATTTTTAAATATTCATTATTTCTTTTTGTGTTTTATTACTTGTCTCTATAAAATTTACGTGACATTTTGACGCTTATTTTTCTCTCATTTCTCTAGGGCAACAGTAATATTCGTTTATTACGGATTGACTCTGAACGTCGGTGTCCTGGCGGGTAACGTTTATTTGAATTTATTTCTGAATTCCCTCATCGAAATACCAGCGATTCTTTTCAGCGTCTTCTTTGTGGATCGTTTTGGGAGAAGGAAATTGACTCTTTTCTTCATGCTCACCGGTGGTATAACTGGTATGCTTACCCTTTTCCCATATCTGTACGCATCAAAAGGTAAGAACTTATCATTTTTTATATGTTTTCAACCGGGATATTTCGATTCTAATGAATGTTTGAAATTCTGAGAAGAGATATTATCGGGAAAACATTTTTAAGTAAGTGATTGCGGTTTTTAAACAAATTTATTGTTATACTAACCACGAGGACGTTCCGGCCAATCAGATGTTTACCAAGCTTGGCTTATTGCAACACAAACTGAAGTATAGTTAGGCCAACAGGAAATTGTGTTATGTCAGTCATATAAATGAGAACGTTATTTTTACCTTGAAAATCAGCATTAAAAATGTTGATTTATTACTAACTGGAACGCCAATATTGTGACGACTATAAAATAGTAACTTTCATTTATTAGGTTAGTTAGGATTTTGCAAACCAAATTGTTTCGCACTGGTGAATTATTAAATACAAGATATAATTAATACAATTAAATGCCAGATAAATATATACGTCCAGATAAATACATCTGTTAAGCACAGTATAATTTTTATGAAAATTTTGTAGATGAATAGTTATGTGTTGTGCTATTCAAGCCTGCTCATATTGCTTTTATATCAGTTGTTATGTTTCACAACGTTTCGACAGTTATAGCTTTCAACTTCTTCAGGTACATGTTTTCGTACTCAGTAACTTTGTTGGAATTTCGCAACGAACTCTTTATTCAATCGACGAGGATAGCTTGTTCTCATTCTGCATTCAATGCTTAGGTAATATTTCATATCAGTTAATACTAGCCAATTTTATTCATATTCGTGTCGCTTGTCTGTTTCTTCCATTGAACTAAAACATGTCGTATTCCAGTTCTATCCACCCCAGGGTTTGAACTCACATCTTCGATGGAACCAGATATGTTATTAATGTTTTATACCACTATGCTATCTATTTCTCGAGACTATGTAAACTCTAATTCAAAATCTTACATGTATTTGTTGATCTCTCTTGCTTATGCTTTCATGGTTTAAGTATTAACTTTCCGTTTTAATCCTTTCATCCTAAGCAAGGCGATAAAGCCACTAAAACGCAGGGGTTTATTGAGAGTGAAATAATATGAGAGAAATCATTATTAAGGAGAGCGAACAAAAAAAAGAATTCAAAGAGACAGAAGATGACGATTGATATTGCATTTAGTTTTGAAGACCAAAGTTGACAGAAAAGCAAGAAGCAGATAAAGAGTTCCACAAGCAAGAAGTACAAGATAAGAAACTCTTTGCATAGTACTTAGAGTTACGTGTAGCAATTTTAACAGTAAAATGATGGGAGGTCGCTGCCAATCTAGAACAGTGCTTAAATTTGTAAAGACGAGGTACCAAAGAAGGAAGCTTGACAGAAGTATTATCATGAAAATACTTGTAGAGAAAGCATAAAGAAGCTACCTTATGCCGGTGGGAAAATGGCTGTTGTTGAGATGAGATGCCAGGTTAGAACCAATAAAATAGCATATTCTTCTTTGGATGTCAAGATAACAGAAAGATTCAGTTTTTGTACGATTCTTCAAATATTACATTTGGATTTTAACTGTCTTCCTTTCAGATCAGTTCTGGACGATAACAGCGCTGACCACATTCAGTAGAATGTGTATATCAGGAGCTCTTTCAGTGATTAATCTTTACACGTGCGAACTTTATCCTACATGCATTCGAAATTCTTCAATTGGATTTTTTGGTGCCGTTTCGAGGTTTGGAGGCGTTTTTTCGCCCTACATAATGAACATCGTATGTATGACACATTTTTCGAACGTATTAGGTTGTTTAAGTCTAGACACATATACAATGAAAGACGATGCATACATACGCATCGTAATCGTCTCATTTAAAATATTTGCATTTTTATCTTGTAACCTCAGTGAACATATTCCGGTCACCCCCCACCAGCCGATTTGCAACTAAACAAAATAAATAAATATTTGATTAAAAATTTTCAATTTCGCTGATATTCTTGATATGATATTGAATTTAATTAGCCACTTCCACAAAACGCTAAAAAATCAGCATACCGTGATGAAAACATGCTTCAAACGTAATGAAAACATAGTTTTATCGTCAAAATCATTATGTTAGTATTAAGAGGAAAGATCAATGTATTTTTTGATTATTCAATTAATTTTTTTTTACTCCTTTTTAGAACATTGGAAATTTTGATTAAAAACTTATTTTTCATACGTCAGAAAATTTTCGTCTTTTTTTGTGGTGACAAACATTAAATTGGAAATTCTTGTAAAAATCAAATAATTGTCAGATTTTAATCAAATTTTCAGAACTTATTCACAAGTGAATGGAATTATTTCTGAAATGTTTTTTATTAGACAATCTTGGTAAGAAACATTTTTGTTTTACATGTATTTCAGCCCCTTACTTACTTTTATGAAAACTTGAGAAATTCATCGAGATCATTTTTAGTGACTATACATTAGTTAAAAGCAGAATACTTTGAAGAATTTAAATCACCGAATTTTTTTTGAAAAATCGGACCCGGTCTTACTGAAAATCTGTTCTGAATCGGAAAATAAAAATGCAATAAAACTAAGACATTATTTAATTAGAGAAGCATTTAATAGCTTTTATGAATGACATATATTACAGACAATATCTTCTGAAGAAAAAAAATTGATGAAAAATGATTTTTTACAAGATTTATTTTCGTTTGTTTACAATTTTAAATTGAACAATTTAGAAAGATTTTAAATCTTTTAAAATTCATTTTCAATGAGACAATTCTTAGGAAATATCGTTATTAAGTAAAACTGTATTTACTAATTATATATTGTAAAGCTTATTACAATTTGACGAACCCGAATATTTTTAAAAGAATTTCGATTTGTTATTGCATATGTGATTACCTGAAGAATTTCTGAGGTATAGTGGGTCAGCCAATTTGTATTGGTTATAAATAGAAATAAAAACTGACCCTCTACAATTTTTACAATATCAAATGTAACAAAGACAACAACAAGAGAAATAATCAAGTAGAAGAAAATGTGAATTTGTTCAACAATAAATATTTTTTTATAAACACAACAAATACATAATATAGTGCAAAAGTTGATAAACACAATAGAGTTCTTTGGTGTGTTACTGAAAGAATTTGAGCTACTGTACTGTATGTGTGAAAATGACAAGGTTTAGTTAGCTATATTTGTTTTTATAGGAAAATTAAACAGATGTTTTTTTGTGTATTAAATAGAAAAAAAGTATTGTTCTTGACTCACTGATTGTTAACGCTCATTAACCATAGATTCTTGTGGAATGGAATATTTTGTGGGAGTGAGCGTTAAGCCTGGAGATGGTTGACAAAGTTTGTTGTATTGAAGATAAAGTTCGTCTCCTTTGCTGTGTTGATTTCAATGAAGTCAAGTGAATTGGTTTCAATATTTTAAGTGCCCACTGACCAAATCGCGTCGAAGTTTCGTTTTTATTAGTTCTCTTGGTCACGTGGGGAGGCTCGTAAACATGTTTACATTTTATGGCGTCAACTAGAGGTCAAAATTTGGGTCGGTACCTTCGGACGTAGTTGACGACACCTAATTAATATTTTACAACCAATCAAAATACACCAGTTGTTATATTTGGCTGGGAGCCTCTATGTGTTTAACTTGCACAAAATTTAAGATTTAAAAAAAATGTAGGAATCTGATTCTACAGAGGTATAGATGTAAAAATCGATAAATCTAGCATTTAAAGATCACATGTTTTAAGGATTGTCTTCCCACTTACGACGAAAAAAGTTTATCATTTGCGACACCTTACTTAACTCTGAACACGGTCGGCTGTCAATCGAATGTAAATAAATCGATTAACACGTCAGAAAAAACAAGACCCCGTAGTTAAGATATGTTTACATGCAATATTTTATACTATAAGTAAGTAATATTTATTTCAAGTCAGATTAATTGATCTTTACATTTGTTAATTTTTCTCAAATAACGTTTCAGAAATATATATTTTATTTTAAAACCGAGAATTAACTTTTGTTTACAAAGGCGTCAGAAATGGTCGATTTGATTGATTTTAACGAAAAAAAAATCGATTCTAATCAATATAATTTTTGTTTGAAATACACCACATTGTATTTTGCTAACTGGAAATAGTAAGTTTTAAATCATTTAGGTTTCAATTAAAGCTAAACTGAAAGCTTCAAGAAAACTTTCATTTTTAGAAATTCACTTTACGTATAACGAATTAGTGGAGTTACCTAAATTTAATCATTCAGGAAAATAATTTCTTTATATACTGAAGATGAAGTAAATAAACAATATATTTATCTACATATATAAAAGACAGCACACACAGACACACAGTTGTAGGTTGTGCTATATTTATGGGTAAAAGAGCTCAAAATCATGAAACAATTCCACTTTACCCTGTTACCACCTCTTAAGACGTGGAGCAGATGTTGGCATTTAGGAGATAAAAAGATTTGGTAGGTTTTGGTTCTTAAGTAGACCAAACCGTTTTTCCTGGAGGAACAGTAAAATAAAGACCATGAGTTACCAACTTTCACGTTATTTTATTTTAATTTAGTTTTGAATTCAAAACAAAAAAATGACAAATGTTTACATTTTTTTCGCCCGATAATGAAAATAAAACAGAAGTAAAAGTATTGTTAGCGAAGAATTTAGTTTTGAATTAAAAAAATCAACAAACTTATGTTTGTTTAATTTTTTTTGTCAGATAAGAAAATCAAGGTGAAATAAAAATGTTTTTAGCGATGAAGTAAATTGTTTGTTCTGGAAGCTCGAAAATAAATTTACACTTTTTAAATATTTTTTCTGGTGTCGATGAAAATTCAATAAATAAATAAAAAATTATTTTATTCCAATGTTATTTATGAACTCATTTATGTGTGTCCACCCTTTAATAATTTATGCACTGTCTGCTGGCCAGAAAGAATAAAATCAGCTTTCACACACACACACACACACACACACACACACACACACACACACACACACACACACACACATATATATATATATATATATATATATATATATATAATAATAAAAATGCGTACTGGAAAGGATTATCCAAGTAGGTCTTTTTAATATAAAATAGTAAAAAGATGTATCAAGAGAACACAATGAATAGTACACAGTCTAACATGATATACACCAAGGAAAAAACGCATAATCGAAAACACTTTGATTTTTTCATATTTATATATTTGGGTGTATATATATATATGCAGATGTATGTATATATATATATATATATATATATATATATATATATATATATATATATATATATATATATATCTGTGGGTGTTGAGCAAGCACAAATGTGCCTGAGCGAGCGTCTGCAATAGGGATTAGCTAGTCACTCAAGTAGACGGATATCATCGAATACGAGTCGCCATCTATTATTATGTATGTATATATATATATTGTATTATATATTCATTCATTTTTATATCAATTATTTTATTTCAATTATTTTCTATCTGTTAAATTATTATTTTCTCTTCTCGCTTTTATATGTGTATATGTATGTATTTATATATGTATGTGTGTGTATGTATATATGTGTTTATGTGTTAGTATTTTAGCTGTTACTATGTTCTCCCATCCACCACACATTAATATCAGGTTGAAAGCTAACAACGCTTCCCCAACATATGTCTTCAATATTATAAATTCACAGAAAATATATTTCCTCGGTCAAGTAGACTTCCTGTTATATTGTTTCTTTTTGTTTTTGTTTTTTTTTTAATATTCTGGATAAATTTAAATTTAAACCATTTGTAATTTCGGTCTGATGAGACGTGTGTTAAAAACTTACCTATTGAAATAAATTATAATTTATAACCGTGTTTTCAATTATGCGTTAAGTTTTTCCTTGATGTGTATGTATATATATATATATATATATTAAATATCTAATTTATAAAAGATATTTTTAATCTGCGTTTTTTTTTTAAATTAACTTTTACCATTTCACCTCTAACAAGGTGATAATGTCATTAAGACGCAGTATGTTACAGGAAATGAGAAGACTTTAGTGAGGAAGTATGAGGAAAGGAAAAGAGGGTTCGGAAAGACAGAAGATGGTTTCTGATGCTGAATTAATGTTTTTGAAGATCGTAGTCAGCAAGAAATGCATTGACTCCTGCTGCCACATCTGGTCTAGTTCTCTTGTAGTATATCTTGAGATTCTTGACAAAATTCAGCGATGGGTCTGTAATGTTATCGGTCCTGATCTGCCATCTCGAATTTAGTCACTTTCTCATCCTGAGAAGGATGATCAGGACCGATAACATTACAGACCCATCACTGAATTTTGTCAAGAATCTCAAGATATACTACAGGAGAACTAGACCAGATGTGGCAGCAGTATTCAATGCACAGACAAAAGGTAGATTTATAAATGTATGTATATTTAACACATTAATGTTCACCCCACTCAAACCCGCCCCATAAATATTGGCGATCAAAGTCTCGTTGTTCTTGGTCAAAGTCTCACTGTTTACGTGACTTCCTTTGTTATTTACGATGATATATGAATATATTACGGCAGAGTATACATAAGGCGGTTTACAGTGGGTTGAACATTGAGAGCCAATATTTACAAGGCAGGTTTGAGTGAGATGAACACTCACAAGTTAAATAGTAAAGAAACAAATTGTGTATGAGCGGTAATAAAACTGAGAATATGTTTTTATATAACTCCGGTTTTGATAGTTGGGCTCATGAGCAGAAGACATTGACTTGATTATTACTGTTTAATTGTATCATGCATAACAACCATACTCAGCTGGTCAATCAGAAAAAAGCGTTTAATTAGAATGGAGCAAAAAGAGCATCATGTTTAGATGCAGCAGAATCTATATTCTTCAATTTCTTTAAAGTACTTTCATTAAAAACATTTTGAATTAATACAGTTACTGATATAACTGATGTAGTCTGTATTTATTCAATCGAAGTTAGCCGAGGACATGAATGGGTAAAACAGGCAATATGAAGACCCACAATTATTTTGGAGTTTTTAAAATTCAATTTGTCAGTGTGCTACCAGGGATGTAAAAGATGATACATTTATGAAGCAATTGTTAAGTTTGATGAAAATTGGTTGAAAGATTAACGAAAAACAAGAAAGAAACCAGTAAAAATCGCCATTTTTCGCTATTTACGTGGGTTTTCACGATATGGGTGGACTCAATTATCAAATTAGATGACTGCTAAACAATTAAATTATTGTTGGCTACAATTGAGTGAAGTTTGTATAAGAATATTGAAGGAGTTTTTAGTTGAAAATTTGTGTTGTGTTTTCGTTTCTCGCGGTTTTTCGCTAAACGCAGTGGCGTAGAAATAAAACGAGCTATCGTTGAGCTCGTCATGTTGTTAATAACCTACATACCGAATTTGAATGAAATCGGAGGAAAAAAGTTGAATTTATTGACATCTGATTGTCTTTAGCGATTACTGTTTTTTTAAAAATTATCGATTTTTTACGCTAAGAAGATATCCCTTATATTGTACGTGTATGTATGTTCCAAGTTTGGTCAAAATCGGTTGGATCGATTTTGAGTGAAAAGTTATCAAACAGACAGACAGACAGACACACATCCTGTGTTTTATATATAAAGATATATATCATGTGAGATTGTGTGTAACTCTTTTCACAGACTGCATAATCGCAGGCTGATTTACCGATTTCCACGTAAATGAGCCCTATAATATTTGACGGGTACTACATATACGAAAAATAATTTCAGTCAGCTGAATTTTGGTGTGTATAACATCAGTAATTTTTTAAAAGTTGGTTCCCCATTTAAATATTTTAAAATTAATGGAAACGATGCAAAAAACATCGTTTTTCCCCTTTGGTAGTAAACGTTAAATTCAGACAATGTTTGATGGGATGCAGAGCCAAATTATTTTTTTTCACTTTTATTTGACTTTTTTCAGTCAACTTTGGTTCCTGGTCGACTGGGTAAAAGTCTCCCTTTGATGATGATGGGAATTACATGCCTAGTTTCTGGGATATTAATTATGTTTCTACCTGAAACAACTAACAAACCGATGCAGGATACTCTTGATGAGGTCATGAAAAGCAAACATACAAATAACAGGTAAGAAGATCTTTATTACTAACTTACCTTCTGATAAGAAATATAAACCCATCGATGTGTCTTCAGTTTGAATGACGTAATTGTCGGTTTTCTTTAATCAGAATGTAAGAGATTGTTAGAAAACCAATTCATCTATATAGGAATAAGGTTATTATCTGTTTAAAGCTATATGGCGTGTCGAATATTTCTCACAATCCTTGAAAACACTTTGGCTACTGTCACAGGATAGCGTACATTTCAAAGATCAAATAACGAATTTATGCATTTATGATGAAAATAGAACAGTGAATGCTTCTGGAAAAATGTTTTCGCAACCAGTATTTAGCCACTCACAACTTTATTATTAATTTTGTTGCTTTTATTAGTATCATATATATTTCTCTTTCATTTATCGCAAAATTTACCTGTTAGAGAATAACGAACATGGAGTTGGGATAGAGATTTCCCAGGAGATGTGAAGCTATGTTCGAGGTTAATATTGTAGGCAGTAATATTATAACCCTCTTCAAAGTAAGGGCATGTTAAGATAAGTGCATAGAATTAGCGTATGTTCTTGGACAAAACATTTTGTGTGATACAGGTCTATCATATAGGACACAAATAAATGAAATAGTCCGTTTATGTAAATAAGCGGAGTTGAGGAGAGTTAGCATTAAGTCAATTGTTAAGTATACCTTCGTGTAGTAATCCTTCTATTTCATTACTTACTTATGAGTTCGTCTTCCTTATTTATTTCTCTCTATTATCTCGAAAACACAAGATACAACAGTTGTCGACGAGGGTGAGATACAACAAAGTCACAACGAAGAAGGTTTAAGCTAAAGAGTATTTCCACACACGGCAATAATCCGTCACGTTCTACAAATAGGTCTTTCAACAAGATTTTGAAGGTACCAACTTAATGGAATGGTCCTTTGTGACTCTAAATATTAATCCAGTGTTTCTATTGTTGAAAGGGACGGTTTTGAGATTGGAAAACAATATTCAACTAAAGAAGAAATGAAAACTCCTATAACTAATATTAAATTGAAAGAGAATAAAAGTTAACGTGAAATTGATGAAGCTTATAGAATATCAAGAATAACATATTGCTATATAGACGAATAAAGTAATATTTTATTCAGGGAAAATTAATGTTTTAGGGGTTTTTAGGTTTACTAAAAAAATATGTTGTACGTATTTTGTTTGCATAATAAAACCTGACACCACCATAAGTTATCAATATTCTAATAAATAAACTGAAGCTTACATGATTACTTATATAAATATAACTATATTCTGAATATTTAGCTATGAGATCTTACATAATACCAATTTTATTATGAATAAAAAAATGACCTGCATAATAAAATCTGACATAGTTCACAAAAACTCCACCCCCATATTCCTTTTAATAGAACCATCTTGGTGCTGCTGAAAATCTTTAATCACTATAAACGCTATTTTTAATGGATATTCTTACTTGAGTAGACGCCCTGTTTATTTATTAAAGAGTATATTTATTTATTTTCATCTACCGGCCTGAATGTTCGAGAAAACTTATTAAAGAAAGATATGCGCTCTATGGCAGAATTCGAATCTGAGTTCTTAGCTCCCTTTGTCCAGACGACGGAGGTTCGAATCCTACCAGCGAGAGTATATATAAATCCATTAATACTAATCTTAGAAATTACTTTGTTTATATATATATATATATATATATATATATATATATATATATATATATATATATATAAATGTCTCCCCATCCATTCATTGTATGTGGATGGTCATTAACAGCTCACGGTTGGATAACCCTTATATTGTAATTTTAATTTTTCTTCCTCTTTTAATATATAAAAAAAGTTTTCCTTTTCTTTTTCTTTCATTCTCCTCTCCCATTTCCTTTTGTCTGGACAAACCGATTTCAATTTCGGAAAAACTTCGGCCTGAAGAGATGAATATTTGAATATATTCATGAAATAAATTATAACCGAAATGGATTTTTAAGGACAGTCTTTACTTATTTTTATTATATTGCTCTGTTACTTACATTGACATTGAATTAATGTCCTCTTGAATTCCTGTCAATTAGCAATTGATATTTTATATATATATATATATATATATATATATATATATATATATATATATATATATATATATATTATGAAATGGACAAAGTCCGACAATTATTTTAAAACATTTTTTATAATTATACATTCAATTTACTGTATTTAAACTTCAATTTTCTGTGAAATTTCTCGGACATTCAGGCCGGTAAATGTTGTTTAATACAGTTTATTATAAACAGAGCATTTACTTAAATATTTGTATCTATAAAAAGAATGTATAAACATAAAATGTCTTTATATATATATATAGAGAGAGAGGGTATCAAAAATATTTTTACAAACCTTATGGGAAGGTTCTTCACACCAAAACAGGAACAAAAGTTCATATAAACATATGTACGCCTATCCTTTGTTTTTGAGTTAAGTTTAAAGTTTGCAGTAAACGCTGTTAAATGTACAATTCAAGATACAATCAAAAATACTTTTATAAACTTTGGTGGTGGATTTATGACACCAAAACAAGGTAAAACATCGATATAAACATATATCCATAAGGCCATCGTAGTACTTCAACAAAGCAATTCATAACAAATGTTCAAAAAGTCCTCTTTTTGTTTCTTCACATGCATGCACCCGTCAGATGATTGACTGGCGGACCCTTTCAAACACTCCCACACTGTATCGAATGGTTTCTCAGGCCCCCATGAAACGATGATGAAGCGTCTCTGCATTATTAATGTCTACTGCATAAACCAATTTTATCATGTGGTCTAACAAAAATCTAAAAGATTAATGCCGGGGGAACGTGAAAGCCATGGAACACGTCCTCCCCTACCTAACCATATTTCATAGTAAATGTCAGCCAGTGCATTGTGAACAATGTGACTAAAATGTGCTGGAGCATCATTATGCATGAACCAATTACGTGTTCGTATTAGTACATCCTCGAGCAGGTTTGGAAGTGTGTTGGAACTAAAGTCCCTGTAGACAGCTCCTGTAAGACGTACTGGGAGAACATATGAACTTACCAGACAGTCACCTACAATTCCAGCCCACACATTAATCATAAACTGATGCTGGAGTCTAACCTGTATTGTACCATGGGAGATTCCGATCTGCCTACAAATATTGGTTGTGTAAATTTGTTATTCCATCTCTTCCAAATGTTGCTTTATCCGTAAACAAGACTGAAGAGATAAACAACGGATTGTAATAAACAATCGGCAAAAATTCTCCTGTTTGTGAGTGATCAGAAAGCGAAAATCCTTCTTGCACACGTTACAGTTCCTATCCCACGAACGCAGGTGTTCCCCAAGGCTCCATTCTTGGCCCCACTCTATTCCTTATTTTCATCAACGACCTTCCTGACGCCATAGATTCCCAAGTTGGCATCTACGCGGACGACACTACAATTTACTCCTGCCTCAAAAACAAATCTAGTGTCGCTGACAAAACTAACCTGGTCGCTCGTCTTGAAATAGACCTCCAATCGGTTGTTAATTGGGGCAAGAATTGGCTGGTCAACTTTAACGCCTCAAAAACTAAACTTCTCTCTATTAATCCCCATAGAGATCCTTCCCTGCCCCCCATTAGAATGTCTGATGCTCAACTTCTTGAGAGCAACTCTCTGCGTCTGCTCGGTCTCACGTTGACTGCTGACTTGAGATGGAACAAATACATTGAGTCACTTGCTTCGTCCGCCGCAAGGAAAGTTGGCTCTCTGTGCCGCGCCAAGAAATTTTTCTCCCCGGAATCGATAATTCAAATATACAAATCAACCATTCGCCCTTGCATTGAGTATTGCTGCCATATATGGTCTGGTGCACCTTCTGTTTACCTCGGAGTTCTTGACAAGATCCAGAGGCGGATATGTAATATAATTGGCCCTGATCTGGCATCTCGTCTACAGTTGCTCTTTCACAGACGCGCCGTCGCCTCTCTCTGTCTTTTCTACAAATACTTTCATGGTAATTGCTCCGATGAGCTGCTTCCACTGGTTCCCAGACTTCATGAATTCAAGCGCCCTACGAGGTTGGCATCCCGCTCTCACCCTTTCACTGTAGAAACTTTTAAATGTAGCCGTCTCTTCTACTCCAATAGCTTCATATCTCGCACCTCTCGCCTGTGGAACACCCTTCCCTATTACTGTTTCCCTGAGAGCTATAATCTCCAACTATTCAAATGTAATGTCAATCGACATCTCCAGTTGCCTTGATCTATTCACTACCCTTCTCCTCATCCTTTCTTCTATCACTCCTATCTGCTCTCGCTCCAAATCTTCTGCAACCCCCTGCATCCTAGTGGCTACCCGCCTTGCTCCGGGCGTAATGCTTAAAAAAATGATACGGATAGAGGAGCTGCTCTTGAAGTGACCCTATGCCACTTGGCGTGTACTGATACCTGGATCGTCTCCGGCAACCGGTAGAATGTATTTTGCGTGGTCAGATTTTATTTTGATTTGTATTTTTTTGTTTCTTCTTTCGTCTCCATCCTTTTTTCGTTTGTATAATTTTCGTTTGACTTCTTTTATGAGCCGTTTTTTTTGTACAAAAAAGAAAAAAAGAAAAGAGAATAATGAATTTTTTCAAAAATCACTTCATAATATTTCTTTCATTTTAGTGCGTGCGGAAAAGATGACATGGATGAAAAAATAGAGCTCAAACTGGCCGCATAAAACCATAAATAAAGAAACCAAAAGTCCTTTCATATTTCTCAAGTCACGTTTCTATTAAATCGTCCATTTTTTTTTTTCCAGGAAAACCACTGTATGAAATTAAAATTGTAACTTGATCTACAGAAAATAAGTACTATCATGTAAAATGAAATTAAACCTTTTCATACTTTTATGAAATTAAATATTATTTTCCTGTTTTTTATTCTTTCAAAATTAACAGACATAGAATGCTAAAAATAATAAAATGTATAGATTAATGAAAATTAAGGATAATTATTTTAAAAATATCTCTACAGAAAACAATTACTTATAAGCGAATGAAATGCTATTGTTAATCTGAATAATTATATGGGGCAGTGTAATGATAATGTAAAATCTTCAAAGCCAAATGTACAATGTCGCAAAATAACAATATAACCATATTCAAATAAAACTAACATGTTTCTTTTGATGTCATAAATCTCAGACTTGATACTTCCCTGTCCCAGGGCTCCGTCCCTGTGCTGGTGGTATCACGGCTACGACTAGCTTGGACCAGCTATGACAAGCCAAGACCAGCTATGACTAGCTTAGACCAGCTCTGACCAGCTTGGACAAGCTATGACCAGCTCTGACCAGCTATGACTAGGTTAGACCAGCTTGGATAAGCTATGGCCAGCTAAGACCAGCTATGACTAGCTTAGACCAGCTATGACCAGCTTGGACAAGCTAAGACCAGCTATGACTAGCTTAGACCAGCTAAGACTAGCATAGACCAGCGGCCCGAGTGTAAACACACGGCTCCCCACTTTAAAAACTGACCTTGTATCACAACCTGACTCAGTGGGGGGTCAAGTAAATATCTATAAATCTGAGACTCATTTGATAATTGTCTACACTATTGTTTATTTGCCTATGTCACTTCTCAGTCTTATCTGCTTCCTTGGAATTCATGAGTTTGATCCCTGGCTTAGGTAGTGCATAAGTATACACCAGCTCGGTAGAGAAGAACGTATGACATCATTTTTTTTTAAAAAAAATCGAATTTACCCCAAGCAAGGCAATAAAACCACTAAGACAAAATGGGTTACTGAGTGTGAAAGAATTAGAAAAGGGAAACATTATAAGGGAGCAAGAACAAAATAAGGGTAATTAGGAAGACAGTAGATAACCATTGACACTGCATTTCAATTTTTGAAGATAAACGTTGACCGAAAAGCATGGAACCGGAAGTTTCCCAAGCGAGAAGTGCGAGAAAAGAAACAGCATAGAATTTACGGTTACATCTAGCCAATTCAATTGTAAATTTACGTGACCTTGTTGCTAATCTAGTACTACACTTAAATTCATATAGTCTAGGTACCATAGTGTGACACTATTTAGGGTTGCGTGAAAAAAAAGAAAAAAAAGGCGAGAATTAAATTAGGTGATAAGATTCTATCACGAAAAGACGATGTTATTTTTTTCTAACAAGGAAAAGTGGTAAAGATTTTATTTTCATTAGCGAAGAAAGTAAGGTCGCGGATCTGTCGCGTTTGATTTATGACGGCGCACCGAGTGGAAGGTAGCAGTCTGCCCATGGCAATGGTGAAAATTTCAGGTCAGTCAGGTGGCCTACAGGGCAGAATTCTAAGAGATAAAAATTAATTGGGTCGCGAGAAAAATGTCCGCTGGACCACCCGCAGAGTACCAGGAAGGAAAGATTAAACCCTTAACTATCTGCGGAGGTATCATTTGAGAAAAATCATCTGTTTTGTGTCGGAGCTGGCTATGATAGGAAAATTATTTTATCAAAACAGTTAATTAGCGACAGAATGCAAATACCTCCAGTTAAACCACCCACTTGACGCTGGCGAAAAGTCTCGATTGATGAACTCCAGATGGGATTCGGATAAGACTGAGATTAAAGGACCACACTGCGGGTCGTATTGGTTTGTTGTCGGGCAGAAAGAAAGAAAGAAAAGAAAAAGAAAAAAAGGAAGATAATTTTTTTCTTTGAGCAAGATTTTTTAAACCGAGGCTAGTCTAGCCACACCCACACTGCTGGGTGTTCATTGACTGAATGGTGGCATGAACGGTAGGCGAAGGTAATCATGTGAAAAAGGAGGGGAGGCCTGTTGACGCCCTCTAAAGGGATCGGTATGAGATGCCACTGTGAGAGAGAGGGGAAACCCGCTGACGCCCCTGAAGGGATTGGTATGAGATACCCATATGAGAAAAGAAGAATGGGGGAGGACGATTCACTATCCTAGAAAGTAAAGACTTCCAAAAAGTGGAAATTAATAAATTTTCCTGACCGAAAACAAAGAAAACCCTTAATGCGGATTTAGAATTATCAAGGAACCTCAAACCCCGACAGGCCCACCCCGGTTTTGGTCGGCGTCCATATAAGCAGAGTTGCAACGAGTAAGACGGCAGTTCGCAGCTGAGTTCGCAGCTGAGCAGTTGGGGTTAGACAGACAGGCAAGCAGTTGCAGTGAGCTGAGAGCTCGCAGACAGCCTTGCAGAAAGCTGAGTTGAGATTTCACGCAATCACGACCTCAACTTCTAACCAAGAACAATTTATTTTTGAAGAACGACTTAGACTCACACCACCAAAACCAGTTTTGCGAATATCGCTTGAAGACACCCAAAACCAGTTTCTTAGAGAACAAACAACTTAAGATGTTAAGACTCGCCTAACAAACACAAAGTGTCACGAATCCATATTAGCGGTTTGGGAGGAAGACTCAGTCCTGTATTTAGCAACCAGATATAAAATATTGTTATTCCTTTTAACACATTTGAACTTTTCGAGTTATTACTTTATTTTCTTTTACATATACTTGTGCGGTATTACCCTTGTTCGGACTCGACTTGCATTACGGCCCGGCGACTGATTGATTTCGTCTACCTAAGATCAAATCACAACGTGGGTAGGTTAGACTAGAAATCAAAACAGTTACTTCGGTAACCAGACGTTGGAGGCGAGCTGGGAACGACAAGGCTGATACCGAATCTAACCAGATTCCCATCCGAATCAGTAAAAGGTTAGAACGTCACATTTGGTGCCGCAACCAATAACAAGTCACCTTGGTCGTTACAGGACAGGATAGGACGGCGACGGCGTGGAGACAGACAGGGTGACGTCACAATTGGTCACGTGACCAGGATAGCACGACGGACGCGGCCAGGCAGACGTCACATTTGGCGCAGCGACACTGGGGGACGTCACAATAGTGAAGTGCTCATTCGTACAATTACCATGAAAGTATTTATAGAAAAGGTACAGGGAAGTAAATTTATGGTGGTTGGAAAGTGACTGAAGTCGAGATACCAGGTCAGAGCCAATAATATTTCTGGTTTGGATTTTAGCAGGAACACCGAACCATATGCGACAGCAATATTCAAAGCATTGGCAAATGACAGACTTACAGATATTTAAAATTGTCTACCACAACACAGTGAACCAACATTTTTGGTGGGTTAACCTAGCAATGGATTCAATGTAGTCTTTCTACTTCATGTCAGCCGAGAATTTTAGCCCCAAAAGGCGCACCGAGTCACTCACCTTGAGGTTAGCATCAACCATTCTGATGGGAAGCAGAAATAGGGTCTTTCAGATAATTAATAGAGAGCAGTTTTGTTTGAGAGGCGTTAAAATTAACAAGCCATCATTTGCTCCAATTAACAACAGACTGTAGGTTGTTTTTGAGGTCAGACGTCACTTTGACCTTATCGAACTGGTAAGACTTACTATCAAGACAGGAGTAAATGATTGTGTCAACAGCATAGATACCAAGATGTCATGAGGGAAGTCGTTAATGAAAATTAAAAACAAAGTAGGACCAAGGATAAAACACTTTTGTAAAGCTACACGCTATTTGTTTTCCTAGTTAATGTGAATAAGTGTTGCTCCTGGCCTGTTCCCGGCACTCTTTTTTTTATTATGAGTGTCGAGATTCCTAAACTCAACACTGTTTTTGGTCCCCTTTTTTCATCTTGGTTGGGTTAGACTTTGATTTTTCCCATTCCGTCATTTATTTTTATCCTTCTCACTCCATTAGTGAGTGTGCTGCTTGATTCTGTGCATCGGCAGAATACAGCGGCCACTCTGATTATTTTTAGTGGTGGACGGGTTTTACTAACATCTTTTTTGTTTTAGTTTGTTTCAAGTTTTTCTTCGTTTTCGGGTTCATTCCATCGCCCCATTTCATGTTTCATGGAATTTATATATATTTTTGTATTTAAGCATTTGCAGATTTTTATATCATGGGGTGTTTTTGTAGGTTCCCCCGTGAATATGTGGTATTGTGGTATATGTAGGATTAAATGATAATGGATGAGTTCTTTTGCTAAATGGATCAATTGTATGGGTGGGGGGAATGGGTCGTGATCAACTAGGACTAGGATAGTAAGCGAAGACCAGCCTTTCCTCACTTTCCCTTCGTCCACGTGCCAAAATTATTGTATTTTGTACAGTAATAAATAATTTGAACACTTTGCTGTGGAACAATGTTTAGAAATCTTTTACACCATTAACCTACATTTGTGTAATTGCGATGACTTTTGAGAACCTTTCAGAACTATTAATAGTTGCAGTAGTTGTCTTAAGTTTCCTTTATTATGAGTGAATAATTTTCATTCTTAATTTTTATGATTTTTTTATGTAATCAGGGTGAATAAGAAATAAAGAATTAACTTTCGGCGAGATATTACTTCTAGAATTATATCTTAGTCGATTAAGCCACGAAGACTAGCGGCTAGACAGGATCCACATTCAAGTAATATAAGTACTGATTTCTTATTTGATTTTTGTTTCGCCATATTGTATATTTATTATCTAGTACGAGTGGTAGAAGTATTAGTCTTATTTTATTTTTAATTATTATATGTATAATTTTCCTTCCTTTTTATAAAAGTTACTTTTTGATCTCAACATTCTCGGCTGATATACATTTCGAATAGAAAAGTAAGCAATATGAACCGAAAAAAAAAACAAGTTCAAATTAAATATTTCGAGATCGAATCCAAAGAAACGA